GGGCGCGGAGCTGCCGCCCGCCGTGCGCTCCGAGCCCCTGGAGCTCAGCGCCGCGTCGGGCGGGGGCCGAGTCCCAGCCCAAGCCCCGTGCGCCCAGCTCCGAGGGCGCTGGATTTGGGGCACTGGCCGCGCTTCGGGGGTCCTTGTTTAGACGCTGGAGGGTCTGAGCGTGGCTGGGCGCTGCACCCCTTCCACCCCGTCCCCGTGTTGTCTGTCGTGCCCTTTATTCCCCCTTGGGAAGGGAGGGCTGGGCGCTGGCCTGGGTCTGTTTTCCAGCCCAACCAGGCCCTGAGGCGGTGTCATTGAGACCCCACTCTGTCACCTTTCCTGGGAGAGGCCCTGTCCAGGCCCGTGACGCCTCAGGCAAGGGGGAATGAGGCCTTGGGGGAGCCCTGCCTCCGTCCCTATCTTCCCTTCTCCAGGTAGGGGCAGAACCAGGTCAGGCCTGGACTTGCAGTCCACAGAGGATGCGGGTGAGGCTGGACACAGCTCAGAGGGGCCGCTGGCCGTGGCGGCCCAGTGTGTCGGCTCTCCTGGGCCTAGTCCTGTGTGCATTTGTCCCACCCGGGTGCTGAGGGCTTGGACACCTCCGCGGCCAGAATGCTGGGGACAGCGTGGGGTCAGGAGGGAAACAGAACTCCCGGCAGACTGGGCAGCAGAGGACTGTGGCTCCCTCCTGGAGCCCTTCCCAAGGTGTCTCCCATCAAGGACTGGATCTATAGTATCTTAGGCTCCTGCTGACGCTGTGGACAGGGCGGGCGGCTGTATCTTCCAGGGTGCACTGTGCGATGGGGGGGGACCTGAGGACCCCTGGGCGCCACTCCTCAGAGAGCGGCTGGGCTGGTGGGAGTCTAGGCTCTTGGGCAGCCCCCACGCCCCCGGGGAGGGAACCGTAGTGAATGCTCATTAGTGCACTGGGGCCTGGGGCATGGCTGAGCAGAATGGTCAGTGGCTGGCAGAAGAGAGCTCTGAGTGTGTGCCGTATGTGCACATGCGTGTGCATGTCTGTGCGTGAGCCTGGCGCCTGTCCGCACTCTCTTTTGCACACCGTGATACTTGCTGCAAGGTGCGGGAAAGGCTAAAGCAGGGACAGAGGGCTCCCCAGGGGAGGATGAGGAAATCAAGGCTCGGGTCCCAGCCGCAGCTTCCCTCCTCAGCTGCGTGGAACGAGGGGCCTCGCTATCTTGCGAATAAACAGCTCTTCAGGTGGCGGTGTCTTTTCTCTGAGCCTTCGCCCAGAACCTGAACCCAGTGGGGTCTCGGGTGGGGGAACCCAGAAAGATGCAAGGAAGGCGGCCAGGACAAAGCAGCGGGTGTGCGGAGTCACCCATCAGCTGAGCACGACAGAAAAGGACAGGGGAAAGTGCTCTCGGAAGCCAGTGGCGGTGGTGTCCGGCAGGGCTGGATGGGATGGGACTGTCCAAGGCCACTTGGTGGCCACCCGTCCCCCGCACTCCTAGATGCCCCGGGTGCCCGCACAGCGCAGTGTGGAAGCTGCCGGTGCTGACCCACTCCTCACTCGGGTCTGTCCAGGTGCAGGGAGGTGATGCCAGGCGGCAGGGAGCTGGGAGCCACAGGGAGCCCTTGCCCTGCGAGGTCCTAGCCCCCTGTCCCCCACCAGGTGACCTTGAGGATCCAGGTCTCCACAGACCTACACCGCTGGGCAGCCCTAGGGCCAAGGCAGCAGCCTCTCTGATTAGAGCTGGAGGTCAGTGGGTCACATTTGGCCCCGTCCCCAAGGTCTTTCCCTCCGCGTGTGCCAGTGGAAAGTCCTGTGCAGGAGAAGGTATTGGTGGAGGGGAGAGGACACTGCCTGTGCCCTTGAAGGACCTGCACGATCTGAGAGTTCACCCCCTGCAGGTCCCCAAAGCCGCACCCTTGGGGTTTCCTAGAGTGCTGATTGTTTCCTGTGCTCCCTGCCGGGCCCAGAGGACAGGAAGTGGAGGGAAGCAGGCGTGCAACGGTGTGTGACTGGTGAACACACTGGGTGTGTGTGAGAAGCCGGAGTGGGACGGTCTGTGCGGGTGGACGGTGTGGGAGAGGAGCCCTCCGCGCATGTGACCGCATGCGAGGCTGGACGCAGGTGCGGGAAGCCGTCCGCGGCGGTGGCGTCCTGGTGCGTGCCCGGTAGGGTGAGTTCAGATGAGAAGCCGTGTGAGTCTTCTGTGTGTGTCCTTCTGGGCGTGCTTGTGAGAAATTGTCCGGTGACATTCTGTGTGAGCATCACACTGGCTGCGTCTGTGAAGGCGGCTTCTGCCTGAGCGCCTGTGTGTATCTTCGGACGGCATCGCTTTGTGCGAAGGGCACCGCGGTTGGGTGACACTGCATCAGGCAGAACAAGCAGCGCTGTGTAACTCGTGGTGCTGTGGTGTGACAGCTCCTGATGTGTGTGTTGTGAAACAACTTGTGAGGCGGCTTCAGGTCTGACTGCGTATGACACCAGGTGTGAGTAAACCACAGGGCCGACCGTGACAGTGTGACCCGTGTCAGGGCACGGTGGGAAAGCTGTGAGTGTGAGTGCTGTGTGCGGGTCACACCAAGCCTGAGAAGGTTGCCCCGAGTGTGCGGCTGTGGGTGTGTATGTGTGTGCAAGAAACTGTGAGTGTGACAGAGTGCTCTGTGGGTGGTCACTGTATCAGCGTGTGTGGGTGACATCCTCAGGGAGCGTGGGGCATGCGCTACGCGTGGCAGGGCTGGGACCCGGTGCGGGGCATCTGCGCAGACGAGAAGGAAAGTGTTACAAACCAAGAGAATGCACTGTGCCTCGCGCAGAAGACTGGGTTAAGTGGCGTGGTTTATATCATGTATATTTTACCACAATACAATTAAGAACAAAAAACACCCCCAGGAAAGAAGCCAGGTGTGGTGGCACATGCCTGGGATCCCAGCGTTCTGGAGGCTGAGGCAGGGAGATCAAAAGTTTGAGGCCAGCCTTAAGTAAGGAGTTCAAGGCCTGCCTGGCTCTGTAGGAGACCCTGCCTCAAAACGAATGAATGAATAAATAAAATAGTAAAGAAAAAAGAGAGGTGCAGGTAACTGAATGTGCAGGACGGTGGCAGAGACCTCGTGTAAGACAGGTCCGGGCACAGGAGGAGCACGGAGGAAGCGTGTTTGTAGAGGACAGTGTGATCCATGTGATGGGCAGAAGCGTCTGAGGGACTGGTGGCAGCCCTGTGAGTGACCCAGGGGAACTGTGGGGGCCGGAGATGGAGCCATCAACATGGTAATTAAGAACTCAGGGCCCCCAGCTGTCCCCTGCTGGATTCATGGGGGGGGGCTTCCCTCCCTGGGAACCTGGGACAGAGGAGCAGATGACAGACAGTCCCAGAGAGAGGGCCTGACCCCTGGCCCCTGGCCCTCTCCCCCAGCTGCTCTCGGAGGGGCAGCCACGGCGAGGTGTGGGTAGGGGGAGTCCTGTCCCCCATTCCTCGCTGAGGAAGCGCTCGCCCCAAGTGGAGGGCGGAGGAGGGGCAGAGTCTGATGCCCAAATTGGAAGCACATTAATGAGCCCATCCAAGCAGGCGCCCCCCTCACCCTAGTGGGCTCTGCAAATTGCTTCCTCCTGTAGAAATCTTGGTCCTGCTCCTGAAGATCCTCCCTCCCCAGCCTGGCAGGGTGTGGCCGCTTGGCAGGGTCTCGGGGTCCTTGGGCTGGAGGTGGGGGAGGCAGACGCCATCCCCACCCCCTTACTGGGCCCAGCCTGGGCGACAGAGCGCAGCCGCTCCTGGGGTGGGAGCTTCTGGCAGCTGGAGAACAGCTGGCCGCGGTGGGGCGGAGTGAAAAAGGCTGAGGGGTGGGGAGGCCACAGGCCCCCTCTTTCCCCATGCCTCACCCCAGACTCAGCACACCCAGGACAGGGCCAGGAATTCCCGGGGACTGTGGGGTTCGCCATCTCCCTGCCACCTTGAGGAGTGCGGGGGTCCCTGCAAGGGTCGGGGGTGGCTGCCTGCTGGGCCCAGCAAGGCCCCCGTTCATCTTCGGCTCCCATGGGGCAGGGGAGGTGCCCACCTGCCAATTCACCTTGTCCCATCTGCACCCCTACCAGGGTGGCATCCCAGGGGGAGCCCACACTTCAGGCTGGCGACCCCCAGCCCCCTCAGAAGAGAGCCATGGGGCCGGGTGGTCTGGAGTCCCGTCTGGGGACCCGGGGGCCAGGGCTTCTGCCGCAGCCCCAACTCTGCCCCATCCCTGGAGCTGTCCAGCCAGTTCTTCCGGCAGAGCTGGCCGCAGGGTGGCGGGGTGGGCAGCAAGGCACCCCTTATCTCCCCAGGGCTCGGCGCCTGCTCCCCCAGCCTTTCTAGCCATCCCCCACCCCCGCCCGCCCCTGCCACCGCTCTGTGGCTCTTCTGACCCAGGGGCTGAGGGCTGGGGAGCCGGACGCGGGTGTGGCGGGTCCGAGATGGGACAGGTGTGCGGCCGTGGCACCGGGCGGGCGTCCTGTGCCTCTAGGTCTCTCTGTCCTCGCCCCCGTGTCTCCTTCGCCTGGTCCCGCTGCCTGTCTTGCCCGTTGCCCCCTCTGTGTTGTCCTGCCGCCCTCTGCTGTGTGTGTCGTCCCTAGGCCTCCGCATCTGCGCCGGTCTGGACCCATCTTTGCCCGCCTGCATCCGGCCGACCCGGCCTCCCTCCGAGTCAGTCCCCAAGCTCCATCCCAGCTTCTCCCGGCTCCCTCCTGTGCCCTGTGGCTTCCTGCTGAGGTCTCCCGGCTGGCACTCCTCCTGTCTGGCTGGCTCCATCTCCCTGTCCGGCCGGCCGTCCCCTCCTGTCTGTCTCAGCTGTGACCCTTGGCCCAGCTGGGTGGCTCAGCACGGGGAGGTGGGCGCCCTCCAAGCCCCCTGACCCAGGCAACCGCCGGCACCCTCGGGATTTCTCACGGGCTGCCTGCCAGCCTCTGTCACCCTGCCTGGGCCGGGGGCGGGGGCTGGGGGCTGGCGGGTTGGCCTGTGTGCTGCCCCCTCCCCAGGGCGGTGGCTCTGGGAGACCAGCAGTGCCTCTGCCCCTGCTGAGTGCTGCTGTCAGAGGCGGGCCCCGCGGCCTCGGGCAGCTGCGATCACCACGTGGGAGGCAGGCTTGGGGACAAATGCAGCGCTGCACATGTGCGCTGCCGGGCAGGACTGTGTTTTGGGGGTACCACCTGTGGGCCCTTGTGTGGGCAGCTCTGTGCCCAAGGGGATTCCTGGAAAGCCCGTCTTGCGGGTGCCGGGGAGCCAGCGAGAGGGCAGGGTCTCACTCTCCGCGACAGGACTTGCGGTCCTGGGGGCTCCCCTCCCCCTCCCCTCCCCTCCCCTCCCCCTCCCCAGCTGGCCGCCCCGCCCGCTGTCTGTCCGCTCCGCTCCGCTCTGTTCGCCATATTTGGCCACAGCGCTCCCGCGGGGGGCGGGGCAGGGCTGACATCACCCTGCAGGGGGGCCGGGCTGTGAGGGGCTCGGAGGACCTGGGGAGACAGCACGCTGCTTTGGAGGTTGGGGCTGCTGGGGTACCCCCGAGCGCGGCCCTGACACTCTGAGGGAGGTCCGAAGAGCAGTGGGCAAAGTGGGTGAAGGGCAGCTGGGAGAAGCTCAGGGTGAAGCCCAGGCAGCCCCTGGTTCTCTCCTCTGACAGCCCCCAGCGCGGACCGTCCCCCAGTGAGCCTCGTTTCCATTCCAGGCGTTCGCTTGGGGATGGGGCTCTGGCCCCTGCGGCCCTGGCGGGCAGGCTGCACAGGCTGGGGTGCAAAGCAGTATGGGGTTCTTGAACCCTCAGCCCCACCAGCTGAGCAGGTCTCGGGGGGCCTAGGGGACCCGGGGCTGAACTCCGCAGAGCAGACTCGGGTGTCGTCTTGGGAGCCGGCCTCTTTTCTTAGCCCAGGTGGCAAGGGTGCCAGCCTCCCCTCTTTGGCCTTCCTTGGTTCAGAGACTGAGCCAGAGAGCTGGGTTCAGAACCAGCCCTAGCCCTACTTGCTGTGTGTCCTTGGGCAAGTTGCTTCGTCCCTTCTGTTGCTTGATGTCCTCCTCTGTAAAGTAGAACTAATAATAGCACTCATGGGTTTATTGGGAAGATTTTTCTTTTTCTTTTTCTTTTTCTTTTTTTTTTCAAGACAGACACTCACTGTGTAGTTCAGGCTGCCCTTGAATTCATTATGTAGGAAAGGCTGGCTTCACACTCCAGGCAATCCTCCTGCCTCAGCCTCTGGAGTGCTGGGATTACAGGTGTGTGTGATCACTCCCAGCTACTGAGAATTAAATGAATGTGTGTAAAATCCTAGAACCTTCCTGCCATTTGGCAGCGTTGTTAGTAGTCGTATCGTACCTGACCCTCTGACCCCAAGACCCTGAGGGCCTCCCCACCCTGCTCCGTTACTGATGCTCTCAGGACTCCCCAGGCAAGCAGGAGGCACCTGGGGAGAAGCCCCCCCATTCAGAAGACCTGGGGCTCATGCCCCCATCCATGGCTTCTCACGAGGTCCCCACCCACCCACCCAGTCCCTGCGTCTCCTGCTGTGGGTCCGGGGGGCTGGAGCATCGCTGGGTGTGGTCCAAGCCTGGCAGAGCAGGGACCTCGCGTGCAGAGCCCTGGCCTGTGCAGCGTGGGCCACGCCAGGGAGGCTGTGGGTGGTTTATGGGCTGCAGTGGGGCCGCCGAGGTGTGGGACCGGAAGTGGGTGCCAGCCGCCGCGCTGGGGGTTGAGTGTGGCCGTGGCTGGGTTACCTCTAGGCAGGTGAAGCCATCCTGGGCAGGGCTGCATTGGTGCGGGGTCACGAAGGAAGGGTCCCCAGCGGGTCCCTGGGTGGAGATCTGGGCCTTGCTGGTGGCTGAGCACCAAGGGCCCCTCCGAGAGCTGCAGTCACCGGGCCCTGGCCCTGGCCCTGTGTTCCTTTCTCTGCTCATCCTGGTGGCTCTGTGTGACCCGTGGGCCTCAGTTTCCCTCATCTGAATAGTGGGCATCACCTTTGCCTTCCTTGCTTCTGTGGGGTGAGGGCCGAATGACCCGGGTGCTTTCCGACCCGTGCTGTGCTGACCCAGGGCCTTGGTGTCCTCGCGGCTGCTCTTGGTCTCTTCGACTTCCGTTCTTTGCGTGTCAGGAGCCAGGCATTGTAGCTGAGGCTTAACTCACAACCCCTGCAGACCCTAACTCATTTTACAGCACAGGGGCTCAGAGAGGTTAAGTGGCTCACCCGGGGTCACACAGCTCGGGCCTTCTGTATCCCACTCTGGGGTCACCCCAGCAGTAGGGACCAAGGTCCAGAGGCAGTGTTGGGCGGTGGGGACCATGGCCTAACCCCCTGCATCTGTCCCCAGGCTCAGGCTGCCCCGTGGGCTCAGGCCCGGAGCCCAGAGCAACCAGCACAATAGCGTCCAACAGCTGGAGCGCCAGCGGCAGCCCCGGGGAGCCCCGGGAGGATGGGCCCGAGGGCCTGGACAAGGGGTTGGACAACGACGCAGAGGGCGTGTGGAGCCCGGACATCGAGCAGAGCTTCCAGGAGGCCCTGGCCATCTACCCGCCCTGCGGCCGCCGCAAGATCATCCTGTCGGACGAGGGCAAGATGTACGGTGCGTGAGGCGGACGCCCTGCCCGCCCCTGCCCCTGCCCAACCAGTTGGGTGACGTCCTGGCTGCCGGCCAGCGCGGGCGAGTCCGGGCGTGCGAGGCTGGGTCGGGGCTGCCTCACAAACAAGCTGGGCGGCCCGCACCTCTCACCCCGCCTGCCCCGGCCTGGGCCTGGAGGTTTCGGGGTGACTCAGTGGGCCAGGAAACTGGGTCAGCGCCATGCGCTGCAGGCCAGGCCCGAAGGGTCTCTGCCCCCAAGGCTGTGGGAGGAACTCCTGGGCTGAGGCCTGGGGTGCGGGCCCCCAGCCTGGCGCCCTCCAGGGCCTGCCTGCGGTCAGAGGAGCACTGGAGGGACACGGGGCTTGTCCCCCTGTCCCCCAGACCCCTCCCCCACTCCCGTTTCCCCACGCCCAGAAGGGACGGTGCCCTCTCGTGCAGTGTGAAGGCGCCCCCGAGCTGCGTGCGGGCAAAACTTGACTTCTCGGCCTGGTGCGCGCCAGCCCCAGCCGCGGCCCTCTGTGACAGCCTGAGGCCTGCCCTGGCAGGGCCTGCCGTGCCCATGTGTCACCTGTCCTCAGCCCCCAGCCCCCTCCTCCACGGGGCAGGGACCACTGTCCCCGGTGCTTCCACACGGCGGGGGCAGCCCCGCTGGGTATTTTTAGACGGGGCGGGGAGGGGGTGGGGAGGGAGGGGCAGTGGGCCCCAGCTCTGTCACTGGAGAGGCATCTGGAGAATGTGGCTGTTCTGGGGAGGCCGAGGGTTGTGGGACTTGAGGGTGCAGACATACACCTGGCCTTGTGTCCCTGAGCCCCCACCCGGACCCCCAGGGGGCCTGGGCTCCCAGAGGAGCCATGGTGATGCACTGGCTCCACTCTTGCTGGGTGGGCGACACGGGGCTGGGGGGCAGGCGCAAGGACAGGGTGACGCAGTAACAGGCTGCAGGGCAGGAGACAGTTGGAGGCTGTGTGTCTCTCCCTCCCTCCCTTCAGTCCTTCCATCCATCTGTCTGTCTGTCCTCCTTCACCACCGGAGGGAGGGGACGCACCCAGATCACTTACAGACCAACGTGGGGACACACGCTGGACGTCCCTGCCCCTTCTGGGTGGCCCCGGAAGGAAGCACGGCAGGGGCTGGGGGCGCCCGCCTTCCAGCCACCCTGTCTTCCCCTCCACGGCCCTCCGTCTCCGAGCAGCATCCTCAGGCCCTACAGGCTGTGAGGGAGCAGTGTGTGGAACTGGGGTGCAGCGAGCTGCACTGGGTCCCAGGCCTCTGCCGCCCCAACCCTAACGTTCTCTCATCTGCTCTAGGTCGGAATGAGCTCATCGCCCGCTACATCAAACTGAGGACCGGGAAGACGCGGACCAGGAAGCAGGTAGGAGCCGGTGCGTGCTTTTCATGCTGCCACCCCCGCCCCAGCGGCCTTTGCAGCAGGTACCCAATCCTGCCCTGGGTGTCTGCTCACAGGAAGAGAGACAACAGACAGAGTGCAGCAGGGCAAAGCGGCTGAGATGGGGCATGTGCAGGGCATTGCCAAGCAGACACGAATCTAACCCAGACTGGGCATGGTGCCGCAGGCCTATAATCCTAGCACTCTGGAGGCTGAGGCAGGAGGGTTGCAAGTTCAAGCCCAGCTTGGGCAACTTACCGAATTAGTGAGACCTTGTCTCAAAATAAATAAAATAGGGGGGGCTGGGGATTTAGCTCAGCAGCAAAGTGCCTGCCTGGCAAGCGCAAGGTCGTGAGTTCAATTCCCGGTACCGGAAGAAAAACGAAAAACAAACAAAAAAAACCAAATAAATAAAATAGGGCTGAGTGTAGCTCAGCGCAAAGGACCTGGGTTTAATCCCAGTCCAAAAATAAACACCACCTGTAATGCTTCCATGTTGACAAACGGCTAAATACTACATTGATAGGAAGCCGCTTGTGACTTTCAGATGTCCCAGAGCTAGCCACTTGGAGATGCCCCCTCAGGCCTAAGGGTCTGAAAACGTCCTGGGAGAATAGCTTGATGGTGAAGTAGGTGGGGCCCAGGTTTAAATCCTGGCTCCAGCATCCGGCTGTGTGACATTAAATAAGTTGTGTAACCTCTCTGTTTCAGTTTCATCATCTGTAAGTCAGAGATAATATTTGAACCTACTACTTAAAATTGCTGTAAAAATCAAATAAACTGGGCATAGTGGTGCATGCCTATAATCCCAGCACTCCAGAGGCTGAGGCGGGAGGATTACCATGAGTTTAAAGCCAGCCTGGGCTGCATAGTGAGATCCTTTCTCAAAAAAGAAAAAAAAAAAAAAAAAAGGCAAAGGAGCCCATGAAGCCATCTGTGGAGAGTGTCAGGTAGAACTTGGGTCCCAGGCATGAATATTCTGTGGGCACAAAGTCATCAGTAGTTGTGCTGGACATAAGTCCCCACCTGTGGCTTCTGGGCTCTCAGCATAATTTACATCATAACTGTCAGGCTGTGATGAAAAAGAAAAAAAGAAGCTGTGTCTGGGGATAAACCCAGCTTGCACAGGAAGCCCACAGCTATGGCTGATCCAGGCAGCAGGGTGCTGCTTCCGGTCCGGGCTCAAGGTCAGAGGTCAGCCATATTGGCTTGGGCTGCAGGGAGAAGGCTGCTGGGAAAGAAGGTGGCCTGGGGCAGCTGCTGCACGCCTCCTCAGGGGCAGCATGGTGTTGGAGGAGGCAGCTGTGGGGTGGGACGCGCAGGACCAGGCAGGGACCCTCAGGCTGGCAGGAGGATGGGGCAGCCTTGCTGTGGAAGCTCCTGGCCAACAGGAGCCTCAGCCAGGCCCTGCAGTGCCCATTAAAAAATGGTGTCTCCTTGGAGGGCACCAGTGATAACAGTCTCCCCTTCTTAGACTTGCCCTTGCTCTGTACCAGGACACATAGGTTGGCCAGCAGAACCGAGGCTGGATTTCAGCTGTCACTGGTACCCTCTGGGCCGGGTGGCCTTGTGCAGTGAACAGCTTAGACAACTGTATGTGGTGGTTACAAGGCCGAGAAGAGGGCAGAAACGGCGGTGCCAAGAGGGGGCCACCCCCGGGGCCCCGTTTCCGTTGGCCCCCCAGAGATAAGGGCTGGAGTGCTCCTTGGCCCGGGCCGCCCCGTGGCTGTGCCTCCTCACTGTCTGTTTTCCTCTCTGGCGGGGCGTGGGGCGGCCCCTAGGTGTCCAGCCACATACAGGTTCTAGCTCGGAAGAAGGTGCGCGAGTACCAGGTTGGCATCAAGGTATGTTGGGCGCCTGCCCGCGGCCTCGGGCTCCTTCCGGGCGCCCCCGCTGCTCTCCGCACGGCTCGGGCCTCTGCCTCAGCTCCTGTCCAGCCCTCTGTGCCGCTTCTGGCTGGACCTGTCCTCTCCTCCTGTTCTTTCTGTCTCTCTCTCTCTCTCTCTCCAGGTCTCTAGCCACTTGCAGGTTCTAGCCAGGCGGAAATCTCGGGAGATTCAGTCCAAGCTGAAGGTAGGGGACCCTGCGCCCAGCCTGGCCCAGCCCGCGCCTTCGGGCCCAGGCCTGGGGGTCCCAGAGGCGCAGGTGCCAGCAGGGAGCACCGGGTTCCCGGGCCCACAGTGGGGAGACAGGGCCGTGCGGGGCGCCACGCCCCTCCTCTCCGCTTTCCTTCGCCTCCTTCCTGCTGCCTGCTGCCTGCTGCTTGCATGGGGACTCGGAGACAGGAGGAGGCGCAGGGCGTCGCCTGCCAGGGCTGTAGAGGTGGCCACGCTGGTCCCCAGCCATCTGCCCTGTGGCCGAGGATCTGAGTTGGGGTCCCATGGTGGCTGTGTGCTGTCCCGTACCCCAGCCGCCCGGGCCAGGGCACCCCACCGGCAGGCGCACCTGGGAGGGGGTCCCAGGAGCTGAGAGCGGGTGGGCGTGGGCAGAGGTCCCCAGCGGCAGACCCTCTGTATCTCTTCTAACCCACCCTCCCCTTCCTCCACAGGCCATGAACCTGGTAAGTAGCACTGTCCTCCCAGGACGGGTGGCACCAGGGTGGCTTCCACGGGCAGAGTAGCTCAGTGCTGGCCTGGGTTCCAGCCGCAGCACCCCCACATAGACACACACACACACACACACACACACACACAGTTTGAAAGCAGCATTTGTTTGTTTCAGGTCTTTTGAGACAGAGCCTCACTATGTAGTCCAGGCTGGCCTCGAACTCACAGCCATCCTCCTGCCTCAGCCTCTCTATGCTGGGATTACAGACATGTCCCCCCATGCCCAGCTGAAAGCAGCATATGTGAAAAATGAGATACAGTCACTTGCCCAGCATTCATGTGGATCCCACTCGTGGGCTTCCTGCATGCAGGCCTTCTGACTCAGGAGACTTCTGTTTCTCATGTGGGCTTAGCAGGAGGCTGAGCATCTACCCCACACCTCCAGGGAAATGTGCTAATGAATACAGTTGGCTTCTGTTTCCAGCCAAGCTCAGAACCAAAATATTTGAAAAATATTGTCTGAATTAAACATGGATTAGTAATTTTTCCCGTCATTCCCTGCATGATCTAATATAAAAATGATGTATGCCAGGTGTGGTGACACACACTTCTAGCCCCAGGTATTGGGGAGGCTGAGGCAGGAGGGTTGCTTGAGCGTAGCGGTTTAGGACCAGCCTGGGCAGCACAGTGAGACTCGGAGGGGTCAAAACACATCCTAGGGTCAGGGATATAGCTCAGCAGCACAGTGCCTGCCTGGCAAGCAGAAGGTCCTGAGTTCGATTCCTGTTACTCCCCCCGCCAAAAAAAACCACACCCAGAAGTGCCGATTGTTCACACTGTAAGTAAGCTAACACACTTTAAAGTGTGCGGAGGACCTGGGCATGGGATCTGTGCAAATGCACCCCTTTACACAAAGGGACGCACACACCCATGTTCAGGTGGCCAGGGATCCCGGAACCGGTCCCCATAGAGACCAGGGATGGCCATATGGGTCACAGAGTGAAGCGGGTCTCTTTAACTGCGGATCCTGGCTGTGGGTGAGAACACAGAGGCTGGACCCGGGGGTAGGGCTGGACCCCAGGGGTCTCACAGGGCGCTCGTGTCCCAGGACCAGGTCTCCAAGGACAAAGCCCTCCAGAGCATGGCGTCCATGTCCTCAGCCCAGATCGTGTCTGCCAGCGTCCTGCAGAACAAGTTCAGCCCACCCTCACCACTGCCACAGGCCGTCTTCTCCGCATCCTCCAGGGTAGGCCCCGGCGCGAGGGGGAGGGCGGAGTTGGGCAGGGCGGGGGTCCTGAGGGCCTGGCTTTGTCCCCTCTGCAGTTCTGGAGCAGCGCCCCCCTCCTGGGACAGCAGCCTGGACCCTCTCAGGAGTGAGTACCGGGCTCCCCATCCTCCCGCACCCCGGACCCCATCCGTGCTGCAATGAGGCGGGAGGGCACAGCAGGGGAGCTCGGGCCCTGCGGCGCCTCCACCCCACCAGCGTCCCGACCGCCTGGCCCTCGGATTCTCAGGCTGTAAGGAACAGCATCTTGGGGCCGGGCGGAAGTGCAGGCGGCTGTGCACATCCGTTTCACCGAAGCCGGGCTCCCGGGAAGTTAAAGATGAAGGGTGCGGGAGGGCTGCAGCTGCCGTCCTGTGGGCGCAAGGGCCCCCTAACTTTGCTGTGCTCATCCGCAGCATCAAGCCCTTCGCACAGCCAGCCTACCCCGTCCAGCCGCCCCTGCCGCCGACACTCAACAGTAGGTGTCCCCTCCGCTGGGCCCCGGGGGGCAGTGGCAGCCACCGGGGTTGGGCTGAGCGGTGTGGCTCCCAGCGCTAGCAGGAAACTGTAGCGCGTACGCACAGCTGAGTGCGCACCGCCACGCCGTGTATTGATGTGTGGACGGAGAGCTCCCCGGAGACAGAAGCCAAAGTCTTGGCAGGGCTTCAGTCTCTGTAGGTGGTAGGATTCTGGGTAATGGTCTTGGTCCCTTTTCTGTGTTTGCGGAGCGCACGTTACTGGTGACCCAAGGAACATTCGCGCTGTCGTGTACTGCTTGGTCCACCTTCTTGGCTGTGCAGGTTTGTCCTGCGCAAACGCTCCAGCTAGGCGAGTGAGAATCCAGCCCACGTCCCTGCTGCAGGATGGCCCCCTTGTCAAGTCAGTACCAAGGCGCCAGGCAGGCAGGGCCACTTTGCGGGGACCCGTCTCGCCCTCCCAGGTTACGAGCCCCTGGCCCCGCTCCCCCCAGCCGCTGCCTCCGTGCCGGCGTGGCAGGACCGGACCATCGCCTCCTCCCGCCTGCGGCTCCTGGAGTACTCGGCTTTCATGGAGGTGCAGCGCGACCCCGACACGGTAACGTGCAGGGGGCGGGAATGGCACGCCGGGGCCCGGGGCCGCCGTGCCCGCAGCCCTGACCCCGCCTGGCCCTCCCCACAGTACAGCAAACACCTGTTCGTGCACATCGGCCAGACCAACCCCGCCTTCTCCGACCCGCCGCTGGAGGCCGTGGACGTGCGCCAGATCTACGACAAGTTCCCCGAGAAGAAGGGCGGGCTGAAGGAGCTCTACGAGAAGGGGCCCCCCAACGCCTTCTTCCTCGTCAAGTTCTGGGTGAGCCCTCCCCTCTGGAAGCACCCCGCCCAGGCGCCCGGGACCCTCCCGGCCGCGCGCCGACACCCACACTGCTGTCCCCGCAGGCCGACCTCAACAGCACCATCCAGGAGGGGCCCGGGGCCTTCTACGGGGTCAGCTCCCAGTACAGCTCCGCTGACAGCATGACCATCAGCGTCTCCACCAAGGTGTGCTCCTTCGGCAAGCAGGTGGTGGAGAAGGTGGAGGTGAGTGGGAGCGAGGGCAGGCGGGTGGCTTTAGGGCCCGGGCACGGCAGGCCGGTGACCCCCCTCCCGGCTGCCCCAGACGGAGTACGCCCGGCTGGAGAACGGCCGCTTCGTGTACCGCATCCACCGCTCGCCCATGTGCGAGTACATGATCAACTTCATCCACAAGCTCAAGCACCTGCCCGAGAAGTACATGATGAACAGCGTGCTGGAGAACTTCACCATCCTGCAGGTGCGCGCCGCGCGGGCCGGCTGGGGGCGGGCGCCCGGCCGAGGCTGACCCCTCTCCGCCCCCCAGGTGGTCACGAACCGGGACTCCCAGGAGACCCTGCTGGTCATCGCCTTCGTCTTCGAAGTCTCCACCAGCGAGCACGGTGCCCAACACCACGTGTACAAGCTCATCAAAGACTAGGGGCTGCTGTGTGCCCCCAGGACGCGGGACGCGCGCCTGCCACGCGCTTGCCCGGCACTGCCAGGCGCCCGGGCTGAGGACACGCCGCCCCACCCTGCCGCTGTTGTGCGCTTTGGCTGTGGGAGCAGAGGGGCTCAGTGGCAGGCGCTGCCCGGCCACCACCCAGCCCTGCAGTGACCTCCGAGGCGGGGGCGGAAGACGCCTTCAGGCGTCAGTGCTGGCCCCTGGCTGCAGGGAGTGTGGTGGCAGGGGAGGCAGGATGGAGGCTGAGGCAGGCAGCTTGCAGAGGACCAGGAGAGTTGAGACAAGGCAGGGCCACCTGGGGCCCAGGTTCCACTACCTCCGGAGCAGGGGTGGCCTCGCAGCAGCCGTACCAGGGACGGGAGCGCAGCGGCGGCTCCTGATGCCCACCGTGGCTGGGCCCACGTGCCCTCCAGAGCCGGCCCCTCACAGAAAGGGGCCCAGGTGGAGCAGAGCCTGAGCTCGTCCCACCTCCATCCCAGCCAGGCTTCAGCCCCCCAGACCTAGTACGCTGAGGGCCACTGGACCCCTGCAGCGCCTTCTTGGCACCAGGTCCGGGCTGGCCCATCCCCAGCTGCCTCTGGGCACTGGATCCACATGAAGTATTGTGCCCCTCCCGCCCACCTGCCCGCTTCCTGCACCGACTGCCTATGGCTCGGGCCACCGCCACACCCCACCTAGGTTTTATAATGTGTTATATATATATGTATTTTTTGTGTACTTTCTAAATCCGCTGTGATGGGTTATACTGTAAATGTGGCTTGGGGCAGGAACCAAGACCTGCCCCAGCAAGAAATTAAAATTATTTGTGGGTAAGTCACCACCTTTTCAAGACCTCTGAACGCGAAGCTCCCCTCTATTGCAGATGCGGCCGGGTAATTTGGGGCCCAGGGCTGTCACCAAGTGGGTCAGGACCTAGGCAGCATCCACCCCCAGGACAGGGGTGTAAGTGAGCAGGGTCCCTCTACAACACTAGAAATCCTGAAAAAATCCTACCTGAAACGGAAAACCAGTACTTCTGTTTTACAGCCCAGTATTCCAGACCCCTGGCCCGGGCTGCACAGGACTCCTTGCAGCCAGCTCCTGGCCGGAATCCCGCCCGGCACCCCGTCAACCAGCGGCCTTCTGCCTTGGTCCACTGCATGAAGAGGGACCTTGTTCTGTCGCTGGAGACAGGACAGGAGAAGGACCTAGGAAGGGAAGTGCGTTTCCCTGTACTTAGCCTCCACTCTGAGAAACCGGTCAGGGTGGGGCCCACCGCCTGCAGAAAAGTGCACTTCACCTACACAGTACTTCTGACTGCCAAGTTCGTGGGACTTGGAAGTCCGAACAGCCCGAGGGACCATGGCAGCTAACCTGGCCTGTCCCCTTGCTCGCTGTTACACAGAAAGCTGAAGCTCAGGGGAAATCCCACTACTGAGGCTTCACTAGTTGTTTTTGACAAGGGCAGCATCTCTGAAACACCACCTTTACAGTTAGCCTTTTACCTAGTATAAAGCAGGTCACACGTGGCGGCACTCCTCTAGTCCCATCCAGCAGGGAGGCTGAGGCAGGACTGCTGGAGCCCAGGAGTCTAGGATCAGCCCAAGCAACTCAGACCCCGCTCCCCCAAAACAACTTAGAAGGACATAGTCCCTGTTCACCAAGGTTCAGCAAAGCGGATCTCCACCAGAGGTTAGACCAATAGGCATTCCGCCCGACTCCAAAGCCAGTTCCAGCACTGGGTGCTGCAGGTGGGAACCCAACACAGCCTCAGAAAGCCAGGTGGGATGGGGTGAAGGGTTTCCAGCCACGGCATGCACTGCTGTCCCCCACAAGGCAGCATCAACAGCCCCTCTGTCACCATGCTGTATGCTGCAGCTGGGTGTGCTGGCACACACCTGTAATCCCAGCACTTGGGCAGGAGGATCGTTGCAGGTTTGAGAACGGCTAAGCTACAAAGTGAGCTCAAGGCCAGTCTAAACTACGTAGTGAGACCCTGCCTCAAAAGACAAGAAAACCCACACTGTACCTGTCTGCATACCCCATCTCCCGACACTGACCGATCCCCTCACACTTCGGGGTGCCCGTAAGCCCCAAGGACCCTTGACACACACATGAAAAGTTGCCACCTTGGTTCCCGAACTCGACTCTCCACAAACCTGGGCAGCAAACTGGATGACAGCCTCAAACTCCCATAAGGTGGACACTGAACCTAACGGTTGAATTTGATTCAGTCCTCGTCCACATCAGTTTGTGACCAGAATCACAGAATCCAGTTTATGAATGGAGGCGCCACTGGAGGTTACAAACCAACACCTTCCCTGTGAAGGTCCTGCCGCTCTTTCACGGCTGGGCCAACAGGAAGCCCTGGCCCTCAGCTTCCCCCAGGGCTCCGCAAAAGCTGCATGTTGTCTCTCTGCCCCACCGTCACACTCATGCAAGAGATCAGAGGGAACTGCCTGAGTCTCGGCATAGGCTGCCCTCTAGCTGTGGCACCCAAGTGCCCATCGCCAGTGACAAACCACACAAGGCTGCCACCAACCCCGTGGGTCCCAGCTCACAACACACCACCACCCCAATCAGACAGACAGGCCCGAGGGGGCGGTGGCACGGGCGTTTATTAGGATGCACCCTAGTACAGGCGCTGGGGCTTGCCCATGGTGCTCTTGATGTACAGGGCCCGGACATTCTGCCAGTTCTTCTTGAGCAATGACACGAGGAAGTTGACGGCCAGGTGGATGTTGTACACAAGCTCATCATCTGTCATCTTCACGTGACCAACCGCCACAGCCAGACACAGGACCTGGGCAGAGGGGCAGGGTCAGGTTGGGTCGGGATGGCACAGGGCCTATCCCACCTCCCCAGCGACCCAGGCCAACAGTCAAACCAACATCCCTGTCCACAAGACGTGCACCAGGGCTCCCACACCACTCCCTACCTTCTTCATCTGGAACTTGATGGTGGACTTCACCTCATCCACTTTGGCCACCATGTTTTCGTTGTGGGTCAGCAGGGAGGGGAACTTGCCAGCCTTGTTGAGGCCAGGTCCCAGGATGCGGGGGATCTGCTTGATCAGAGACTCAGAGGCGAGAAACGCATCGTACTTCTTGGCTGGAACAACATACACAATGGGTGCTTAGGACGCAGCTAGGGCCAGAACAGCACGGAGCCAACAGAAATGACCTCCCCCCACGTCTAGGAACGGGATTTTAAGTATTGGGGACTAATCCCAGGGAGAAATGAGCTGCACCCTCATCTATTTTAAGACAAGAAAATGGCTGGGGATTTAGCTCAGTGGCACAGCGCCTGCCTGGCAAGTGCAACGTCGTGAGTTTGATTCCCGTTCCCGGAAAAAAAAAACCAAAAACCAAAAACAAACAAACAAAAAAAGGAATAATAGGGGCTGGCGATTTAGCTCAGCAGCAAAGTGCCTGCCTGGCAAGCGCAAGATCTTGAGTTTGGTTCCCGGTACCGAAGAAAAACCAAAAAAAGACCAAAAAAAAAAAAAAAGACAAAGATTCTGCTACATTGCCCAGGGCTGGACTTGAAACCTGCTACCCTCCTGCCTCAGCCACCTCAGCAGCTGGGATTTACCTGCCAGTCTTTTCAAGTGGTTACTTCCACACACACGCCGTTTGTGGCTCTGCCTCCGGGCTCGCATGTCCTGAACCCCAGCCTAAGATGCTAGTGACCCGCAAGTGGTACAGAGAGCACGGCGCGCTCCGGCCCACACTGCCCCGGCTCAGGTCCACCTCACTCCCCAGCTGGGGGCCTTGGCCATGACAACAGGGGACCCGATACCACTGCGCAGACCACGTTAAAGACCAAAACCAAACTAGTACACAGAAATGCCCACTCTCAGCACGGGCCAGGGGACCTAAACTCAACTGACCTGTCTTCCACACGTTACTGTGTCCCTCACTACCTTGAGTGGGGTGACCCGCAAAAGCTGCACCTGTGCAAAGTTTGGCCTCGCCCTTTACAAAGCACAACCACCAAGAAAATACTTCAAGATCAAACTTTACTTTTTTCCTGTGGTACCAGAGATTAGCCCTAAGGCTTTTTTGCACGGTATTATAATCCTAAAACCCTGTTTCATGAAACTTGTAAAAAAAGTATCACTTGGGCTAACTTACAGCTCACTCTACCACCCTTTTTGGACACATGGTCTCCACATGTAGCCCAGGCTGGCCTGGGACTGCAACCCCCCTGGCTCAGCCTCCCAAGCGCTTAGATGACAGGCGCGCACCACCCACACCAGCTGCCGCTCGTTTTTAAAAATCCAAGCGGCGCACACCTGTGTCTCCCAGCGCCCTGGGAGGCTGAGGGAGGACGATCGCAAGCTCAGGCCAAACCTGCGCAGCTCAGCGCACAGCGCCTGGGACCCGGGGTTCGGCCCCCGGTCCCCATCCCGGAAGGCCGCTCCGGGGAGGCCCGCCTGCCCCGCCGCCGCACCCACCCAGCTTCTTGACCAGCTTCTTGTTCTTGTTGAGCTTCTTCAGCGCCTCGATGTCCATGTGCGGGATGTCCACGGCCTTGGCCTCGTCGCAGTGCTGCTGGTCGCCCAGGACGCACACGGAGAACTTGGGGCGCGGCGTGGACTTCAGCCTGCGGGCGGGGGCCGGGCGGGGGGTCAGGCCGGGCGGCGGCGGGGAGCGCGCGGGTCGCGGGCGCGAGCCTTACCGGGGCGTCGTCACCTGCGCCAGCCTGGCTTCTCAGGCTGGGCGGCGGGCTCGGCCGAGGCCTCCCCACGCCTCCCCTCTTGTTTTACGACCCAGGGTGCGGGTCCGCGCACCACTGCGCACGCGCGGGGCGCAGCGCTGCCAACCTGACGGTGCCCGAGAAGCGCTTGTCCTTCTGGGGGTCGTAGTTCTTCAGGCTGATCTGCAGCTCCACGGTCTCCAGGAACCTGCGGGAAGGAAGCAGCGCCGTCCCCGAGCCGCCCGCGCCGGCCCCTGCCCGCGCGCCCCGCCGCCCCGCACGCCCCGCTTACTTCCGGCGCTTGCGCTGGTTCCCGTGCAGGACCTCGCGCACCGCCTCGTACAGGGTGTCGCGGGAGACTTTGCTGCTGCAAAGGAGAAGCCGGAGCGCTCAGGGCCGGCCCGCCGCCCAGCCACCCTTCCCCGCCCCGCGACCTCCGGGCACCGTGTCAGGAGACGGAGACCCAGAACACGCCGGGAAAGAGACCCGCAGGGACCGATCCAGTGCAAGCATTATCTCGCTGGCGTCTGAACTCCCGGTAGGACACCTACAAGCGCAGATGGACACGGATAGCGCGTTAACGTTAAGGTACCTCATGATTCCTTGCGCTGCGGTAACCGGAAAAGAAATTAGGAGTCTCGCGCATGCGCAGAAATAATGGCCTTGCTCTCGCGAGAAAGTCCCTGTTCCCGCGGACTACATCTAGAGCGAGATCCGGGCGCTCTACCGGGAGAAGCACTACCGGATGCAGCCGCTAGAGGGCGCCGCTGGCCGCCTCCCCCGTCGCCCAGCTGCTGCCCGTCTGGCTGTCAGCTAAGGGCCGCGAATCTGAAGCCGAGCGTGGAGCCCTGATCTGGTGCTGGACCCCGTGTTTAACCTCGTGTGACCTTCGTCTTTGCCGAAGAACCGGGTGGACTGTTTTCTGGCGGAAACTTCAGGTGGGCACATTCACCAGTCACAAGAACAGCCCGGGGAAATGACTACTTTTGTTCTTGAGATCTGCAGCGCTGGAGAAGCATCTCATGACTAGGATCAGGAGCAGATGCCCATCCTTCGGCCACAGCTGTGAGAAGGCACCCACCAGGCTGCCATCCCGCTCTCCTGTGTAAACTGCCCTTCCCCAGCCTCCCGGGGGAAACACAGACTTTGGACCTGATCAAAGCTTTTCCACTAAAGTTACCTTCTTGCCCCCGTAGCTCCTCTCTTGACTAACAGCCTGTCTTGTGTGAGCGGGTGGACCAGGTTCAGTGCCACATCCGGGGCTGGCACTCAGGGTCACGTGTCAGTCACACAGCCTGGGCACAGCACTGTGGAGGCTGCTGAGAGCTGGCGATTGTGGCACATCTGCCCTTGAAATCTCTGTCCATCTCCCCGACCCTCGGCGTCGACCTCTGTCCTCAAAACCCGGCGTTATCCCTCGGCCTGACCTCCCTCCCTGGCCACCTTGCTGTGAGCAGGGACGGGGATCCCCAGAAGTGCCTGCCAAGTTCCGACCGGGCCCCGCGCCTGTGTGCTGCAGTAAACTTCCGCGCTCTGTGCTTAGGTGCCATGGCGGCACCGCACGCCCATGGGGCCCGTCCTCGTCTCAGCCCACAGCAGCCCAGAAAAGCCCTGCAGACCCCTCATGCCATCCGCCCACGCCCTTCCTCAGCGCCACACCGGGCCACCCGACCCTTTAAGTCCCCGCTCTGATCCCCTGCTGGCAGTGGCTGAGCACCTCACCTATGCGACAGTCACCTCCCACGGGCCTGCGGTGGGTGGCACCGCTCGGCACCGGCCCGTGGAATGTGAACAAATGCATTTCAGAATCAACGCTCTACAACCTTCCGCTCCCTGGAAAGAAAATGCCTGGTCACTGCGTGGCGAGTGGGGAAGGTGAGACACACCCGGGTCAACGGAACGCAGACGCTAACAGGAGTCACGGAGCCTCCTGCTGTTTATTAAATACTATAGGTACATCACTCAGGAAGCCTCTGTCCCTGCAGTGGTGAGACCTGAGCTGGGCCAGCAGCCCCTTCATCCCGCCCCTCGGCCCAGCAAGCCCCGCCGCCAAGAGGCCAGGGTGGCTCTATGCCCCTCGCCCAGGGAGGAAGTTGATCCTGAGGATGCCTGGCTCTGCCTTTACCCTGAGGCAAGGGGTCAGGACCAGGGGGCAGAGCAGAAATGTCCTTCAAAAGCTGGTGACGCTGTCCCGGGAGAGGGACCGATGGTCAGCGGCCCAGCCGTCTCAGCGCAGCCTGCAGGGACTTCCGCAGGAAGGTGGTGTTGGGCTCTAGGGCCACAGCCAGGCCCAGCCTTTGCGTCTCAGTGATCTGGGGACAAGAAAGAATCTGTCAAGATCTTTTTTTTTTGGTACCAGGAATTGAACTCAGGACCTTTTGCTTGCCAGGCAGGTGCTTATACCACTGAGCTATATTCCCAGCCCAAGACACACTGGATTTTTTTTGGGGGGGTACTGGGAATCAAACTCAGGACCTTGCACTTGGCAGGCAGATGCTGTGCCACTGAGCTACAACCCCAACCCCTTCATCTGTCAGGATCTGGCTGCTGTCATTCCCCAGGCCTTTACCCACAGGCTCTGCTGAAGGACAGAGAGAGGAAGCCACAACTCAAGGACCAGTGAGGGAGAAGCAGCTCCAAGCTGTGCATCGGATGCATGTTTATGTTACTACGTCTCTGCGGTCTGCAGCAAATCTCACGAGATTGACAAATGGCCCTGTGCCTGTGACCCTCAAGAAAAAGAGAACACCAGCCGTGGGTACTGCTGCACAGCTGCTATAACCCTAGCACTGACGAGGGAGGCGGAGGCAGGGGATCATGACTTCAAGGCCAGCCTGGGCGACTGGGTGAGTTTGAACTACACTGCTGTGACCCTGAAGGAGAGGGAGAAGAAGCAGAGGAGACGGGTGGAGAGGGGAAAGGAGAAGGGAAGAAAGGAAAGAAGAAAAAAGATAAAACAGCCAGGCGTGGTGGCACACGCCTATAATCCCAGCACTCGGGAGGCTGAGGCAGGAGGATGGTTATGAGTTCAAGGCCAGCCTGGGCTACAAACTGAGCTCAAGGCCAGCCTGAGCTGCCCTGTCTCAAAAAGACCAAAAAAACAAAACAAAAAAACGAAAGACACCAAGTCAAGGACATATAATCCTCAAGAGAAAACTACAGATAAAGCTCCAGCCCATGACCTAGAGGGCCCTCCATAGAATGCTGCTAGCCTGGCAGTGAGACACTGAGCAAGTTCCTTTAACCTGAGTCTTAATTCCTCATCTGTAACATGGAGCTACCAGGCACCACGGTGCATACCTGTAGTCCCAGCCACTAGGGAGGCTGAGGCAGGAGGATCATTTGAGCCCAGGAGTTTGACACCAGCCTGGGCAACATGGTAAGACCCTATCTTGGAAAGGAGAGCGAGAGAGAGCAAGTGAGAGAGAGGAAAAAAGAACGAAAGCAGGCACTCATGGCAGCGTCACGCCGAGGCCTACACGCACGGGCTATCCTAGCAAGATCATAGAGGCGAGGGCTGGGGATTTAGCTCAGCGGCACAGCACCTGCCTAGCAAACGCGAGGTCGTGAGTTCGATTCCTGGTACCAGGAAAAAACCAAAACAAAACAAACAAAAAAAGATCATAGAGGCGAAGGGCTCAGAGCTGTGCCCCCGCAGAGCGAGGGCGGTGTAAGTGTTCACCACTGGTGACTCTCGCTCCCCAGCCTCCTCCCCTCCCCACTGCTCCCACACTGTTCTGCCCCAGCCGTGGCACACCTCAGAACCTGCTGCCCACGCAGGGCCCCGGCCCGGCAGGCCCTTGCTGCGCCCAGGGCTCAGCTGCACCTGATGATCGCGTCTGTTCCCTTCACGAGCCCGGCCCCGGGGCACCGCCACTCAAGGGGAGGGACTGCGACATCGTCACATCGGTCCCCGGACCCCACACAGCACCTGGCCCAGGGAGACCCAGCCCCGAAGCCCACATTCTGGAGGTGAACGTGCACTTTGCTTGGCAAACACTCCAGGGTTTCATCCCTCCGCAAAAATGTGCACCCCTTCTGGCAGGCCCGGAGCAGCCTTGCCAGTAGGACCAGTCCCGTGGCCCCGTTGACACTCACGCTGGCCTGGTACTTGGTCATCATCGTCAGCATGAGCTTGGCACAGGCCACGGAGGTGGGGGCTGCCAGCCCCACTTCACAGAGTTTCTCCATGAGGACGGCAAACTGCTCGGGGCTCGTCTCCACCTGCAGGCATCGGGAGACGGAGTGGCACCGTGAGAAAGGCCCAGCTCTTCATTCGGCCCTGGGTTCAGTCCCCTGTGCCTCCATCTCCTAGCTGGGTGAGCCTGGCGGGAGCTTATGCAAGAGTTCTAGCAGCATGGCTCCGCAGTGTCCTCAGAAGCCCATGTGCTGAAGGCTGCGTTCCCGGGGGGAGGTGCCTCATGGGAGGGAGTTAGGCTATTGGCTGCATCCCCTTGCGGGTGCTCTTGGGGTCCAGCTTTGCTTCCTGGCTGCCAATCCCCAGTACCGGTGGATGGATAGGTGGATGGATAGGTGGATGGATGGGTGGGACAGACAGGATGGATAGATGGATGGTTAGCTAGGCAGGCAGGCAGGCAGATAGATAGATAGGATGCTGTGGTTTGGATCTGCAGCGTGCCCCCAAAGCCTCACACCCGCAAAGGCAGGCTTTTGGGAAGTGACTGGATGGTGGGGCGCTGTGCTCATCAGCAGACCGATCTGATCTCCCGGGAGTTCGGAGCTGGAGGGTGTGGGGAGACGGCCTGGCAGGAGGGAGTCGCAGTGCGTGGGACCATCTCCCTCCCTGGCTCTTCCCTTCCCTTGTCTCTCGGCTTCTTGGCAGCAATGACAGGAGCCTCTTCCTTCTTCCCACCATTTCTCCTTCCTTCCACCACACCGTCCCTGCCTCGGAGTCACCGACCATGCAGGGACTGAGGCTCCTGAAAGGTCAAGCCAGAACCACTCTGTCCTCCTCCAGGCTGTGTGGGTCTAGTGTTCCGTCTCAGTGACAAGTGACTAGGACATAAATAACTTACAACTCTGTGAGCGCATGACTCTGTCACCCAGTCAAGAATTAAATGCGTATGCACATCAAAAAATCCTGCCACAAGGCCTGCAGCTAGAACAGGCAGAGCTGGATGGGCCGTGTGGTCAGCTCTTTGCTCCCAGCCTCGTAAGCTGTGAAGTCCCCCACTGCCGTCCCGCCTTCCCTTCTGTCACCAAAGACACGGACACCCAGAGCCCACGCCCTCCAGAGCCCCCTGCCCTTCCCTGTCTTTTCGTCTCCAAGGCTGTTGCTCACCTGCTGCTCCAGGAGCACCTGTAATACCAGAAAAGTCTCCTCACTCCAGGACAGCTCCAAGATCTGCCTGCAAAGCAGAGGCCCCGCTGAGCACAGCCTGGCCTCTCACGGAGCCCCGGCACTCAGCTGCTGCTCCTCACAGGGCCAAGGGCCGGGGACACGGAGCCAGCCCCACGCCTGCAGAGGTGGAACTGGAAAAGCCTGCAGGCCTGGGCTGGGCAGGCGTGAGGCACGAGGTGAGTGTGCAGGCCCAGTACGGGGACACTTGCAGGCTCAGCGTCGAGGCCTGGCTGGCTCCCACGGTGGTGGTGGCAGGAGGGCCTGGCCGTGGGGAGAAGATGGATGTGCCAGGCACAGGGCCGCACACTCACCCCAGCATGAGGGCCCGAGCATCTGGCTCCAGGGTCTCCTCCTTCATCAGGTGACACAGCAACTCTGTTTGTGCCGGGCCTGGGTGGGGCACAGGGAAGAGAAGTGCGGAGAAGGAGGCTTGGCTGAATCAAGGGTCTCATCAGAGCAGCAGCAGGTGTTACTCACCGAACACCCAACCCCGCCAGCGCCAGGCCAGGTGCAGGTGCCGGGAAGGGGGAAGGGGGCAGAGGGCAGCGCATGGGGCCAGTTTCCGTTACCTGTGCCCGGGGCCTGGAGCACGGGGCCCAGCAGGGCACTGCACACGGGGTAGGGGTGGCTGGCACAGAAGGAGGTCAGCGCGGCTCTGAGCAGCCGGGAGGCTGAGGAGGCCAGGCAGAGGATCTGCAGCAATGACGGGAAACGGCAACTCAGTTCTCATCCCTTCCATAATATCTTTTTGGTGCTTGGGGATTGTACCCAGCCCTTTATTTTTACATTTATTTTAAAATTATTATTAGTTGCATGTGTGCATCAGGTGCAGAGGATTGAACCCAAGACCTTTGCAGTGAACTACATCCCCAGCCCTTTTTCTTTTTAGCCAGGTGTGGTGACTCACACCTGTAGTCCCAGCAGTGGGGAGCCTGAGGCAGGAAGATCGCTGTGAATTGGAGGCCAACCTTGGCTACAAAGTGAGTTCAAGGCCAGCTTGAAGTGCATGGTGAAACCCTGTCTCAAAAAAACCAAAAAAAAATTTTTTAAATTTTATTTTGAGGCAGGGTCTCATAAAGTTGCTACATTCCCCAGGCTGGTTTCAAACTTGCACTCCTCTTGCCTCAGCCTCCCTGAGTGCAGGGATTACAGGCATGTATCCCTGCACCCCACTTTCAACAAATGTTTATCAGACACATCTCCCAGATGATGATATATGTTATGATGGAGGAAAGAACCAAGTTCTTTCACTGAAGACTCACGTGGACCCACCCTGTGGAAAAGACAAATAGTTCCCATCCCCAGCTCCCAAATCTTCAAAAGTCACTCAATCAGCTTTTGGAAGGTTCCGGGGCAAAAAAGAGCCAATGGGTAGCTGGCCATGGGCCGGGTTCTAGCTCACCAGAGGCCCTTCGGTTGTCCCAGGTGCCCCAAACAGGCCAGATGCCTGTAGGGCCAGTGCACTGTCTGCCCAGCAAACCCCCCCAGGGCTCAGACCCCCCCCCACTGTCCCCAGCACTTCCAGTGCCTCCCAGAACACCTACACGATCCAGAAAGAGGCTCCTGGCCAGCACAGTGGCATTGCTGATGCTGAGACCGGGGGACAGGGCCAGCAGCCAGGTGCACAGCCGCAGGAGGCCAGCGTCCGAGAGCTGCGGGAGCTGCAGCTGGGCACAGACCCACTCCACCTGCCACGGGAGGGGGACACACAAACACTCAGTCTGGCTCTACTAGGCTGGCACCAGCCAAGGGGCCAGAGGGGCAGAGCAAGGCCGCCCCAGGGCAAGATAAGGTGAGGAGAACTGCCCTGCTCACCTGGGCAGGAAACTGGACTCAGAACCACTCAGTGACCCTACCCAGAGACAAAGGTCGAATTCTCTCCCCAGTTCCCACAGGAAGTAGAGGAGCACACATGGGGAAAGTGTAGGGCAGGGGGCACCATAGCCTCAGGGCCAGGCAGGCTTTCTGGTCTCACCTGGCAGGGACTGCATTCGTGGAGAAGCTGCAGCTCTGCTGGGGGGGTGTCCCCTGGCCCCTCCAATCCCTGGGGAGGCAAAGTCACAACAGGCCTAGCAGAGACCCTGTTAACAAGTCCCAGAGGCCACCCCTTCCATCGGCAAAGTGAGTGGCTGAGATTCTAGAAGGTGCTAGCAGGAGTGGATCATGCCTGTTGGCTGTGACCCTGCAGCCCTGCCTCCCACCCCAGCCTGTGCACTGGGGCCTCCCAGGCAGGAGGTGGAGGGAGGGCTACTGTGTGCAGGCCAGGGCCTCTCACCTCCCCGAAGGTCTTCAGCAGCTGCTGCAGCCTGGGCAGCTGGTCCTGTGGGGGAGAAGCGAGTCACTGCTAAGTCCCTGCCCCACAGAGCAGCCCTGAGCCCCGTCCCCATGTCCCTGGCAGTGAAGCGTGGGCAGAGATGACTGGAAAGCGCTAAGAACACGGACCTCCATCTTGCAATGGGCCGAAGGATCCCGCTGGACAGGGCTTCTGCGCACTGACCACGGATGAGGCAGACCTAACCCGGGCAGGGAGCGCAGGCTGGGTGCTGGCAAGATTGGCCTCTCCCCGCACCTGTACCCTTCACCACCCACATTACAGATCATTAGGACAAAGACACCACCTCCCACAGCTCCCTCCCTGTGGGGAAGGGAGGTCCAGAGGTCTGGTTGACCGCCGTGGCAGAGGAGCGCGTCTGAGCACACTCGGACTCGTCAGGTCCTCCGCACACCGAGTGAGTAGCCCTGCCTAGGATGTCCGGCTCTGACCTCTTACTTCCGCACAGCCCCCCAGCCAAAAGTACCGCCTCCAAACCACGCCCGGCAGCCTCCATTGCCACGCCTCTCGCCTGCTCAATAAAACACCAGGTACTTCCGCAATAAACCGGATGGGCGCCATCAGCCTGGTCTCCGGTGTCCTCTTTGTTCACCGTCGCCACTTACCACGAGCCCAGGTCCCTCAACCCGAGAGGTTCAACCTCAAGTGGCGCCTGAACGGGGACCCTGTGCGCCCCCCGGGAGTCGGTAAGTGGCCCCCGCCCACATCATGGGCCCCGCGCTTCGTAAGGACCAGCCCCCGCAGGCACGGGCACTTGCTGCGCTCTTACAGGCTAGACATTGTAAAGTCTCTTATAAGACCCTCTCCCAGTACTGGGGGATTCTCCTTCCTTTTAATCCTTGGCTGAAAACTGCTAATCTGTGGGACCCGCAGACACGGTCCCTCCTTATCCAGCGGGTCCAAACGGCCGAACAACATGAAGGGAAAATCTTTCCCGTAGGGCTCCTGCCTACTTTACTGACTATCAGAGCTTGCTTAACAGGCTCGGAAAGCATTACTGGGGAGGATTCGGAAGCCGTCCCTCTCCTGGCGGACTCCCCTGCCTGTGCCACGGCAGCTCCAAGAAAGACCTCTCCCTGTCGGTGCCCCTCCCATCCGAGCCAAACGCCAAAGAAACCCCCAAGCCAGACGATATAAAACCGCTGACTCCCCAGCCTAAACCACACAATATATACCCCTCACTCGCTTCTTTAAAACAAGAGCCAAATATGGCCCCGAGTAAAAATCCTCCACCCATGATGGCTCCGAACAAAAACTTCCCGCCCCGGGCTACTTCCTCTTTGTCACACAATAAGCCCCACCCCTTGGTGAAAGCGGAACTTGACTGGGACGAGCCTCTGGCTTACCCTGCAGCGCCACCTGCTGGCACTACTCAGACATCACACCCTAAAAATCCATGGGATGGATATCACGCAAAAAGAGATTTTAAAGTACAACCATCCCAACAATGGGGTGATTATTACGAAGGATTATGTAAAATCAGAGACAGTCAAGCAAAAAATTGGGAACAGTGGGAAACTGAAATAAGTGATATGTTTCCTGTA